TGAAGCCTAAGTGCGTAAAGAAGTCAGTGAAAAATGGAGGAGTAAGTGTCATGGTTTGGGTAATGTTTTCCACAGCAGGAGTTGGGCCTCTTAAACCGCTACATAACAGGGTGAATGCAAATGTTTATCAGAACCTCCTTCAGCAACATGCAGTTCCTTCCCTACAAGCATCTCCCAATCAGCCTGCAATTTTCATGCAAGACAATGTCCCCATCACATTGCAAAATGGGTAAAGCAGTTCCTTGAAGCCAAAAGCATTGAAATAATGAAATGGCCGGCCCAGAGACTTGATCTAAACCTGATTGAAAATCTCTGGAAAATCCTCAGCGACAAAGTTATGGCTAAGAAACCCACTACAGTTACCAAACTATGGAAGAGAGTGGAAGAAGAGTGGACCAAGATCACACTAGCACAGTTTGAGAAACTAGTGATGTCCTGTGGCCGCAGATGTGCTAAAGTCACTCAAAGCAAGGGCCTCTACCCTTCCTACTAATTTATGACAGCTGTAAAAATTTTAGTTGTAATCATCTTTCGTGCTACAGTGATTATTGTTCTCTAATTTTGATCACTGTGTTTTCCACAAAATAAAGGCTTTTGTTGAAATGCCTTGGTTATTTTGTCAAACATGTTAGTGGAACAGTGGTATACCTACAGCTAATATTCAAATTTTGAGCGATGAAGATGAACAATATTTCAGAAAAAGTATTTACAGATTGTTCTCTAATTTTGATTTATATATACAGTGTATATATATATATATATATATACACAAAACAGTTAAATAGACAAGACTTTAGCACATCTGCGGCCACAGGACATCACTAGTTTCTCAAACTGTGCTGGTGTGATCTTGGTCCACTCTCTTCCATAGTTTGGTAACTGCAGTGGGTTTCTTAGCCATAACTTTGTCGCTGAGGATTTTCCAGAGATTTTCAATCAGGTTTAGATCAAGACTCTGGGCCGGCCATTTCATTATTTCAATGCTTTTGGCTTCAAGGAACTTGAATAGTTGATTGGCGGAACTATCGGTTATCGGCAAAAATCAATGCAGATAGTTTTCCGGGTTGCGTCCGTTGTTGTGGCCGTTATTTTGTCTGTGGCCGAGACTAACAGCACCTGTTGTTTGTTTTGACACTGCAGCGGGAAACTTCAAACTCAAAAGAAAATCCTGCCGCGGAACAGAGCGCCATTCACATAGTTTTCCATTAAATTACATTATATTTGTCCCAAATCATTGTTAATGTACGTAATGACTTCACCCTAGGCTATGGATTATGTATTGTGCTCTTTCTGTGGCTCTAATACAGTCTTTATGCTTCATATAGAGAGCTGTAATACAGATCGCACTTTCTCTTTCCCTTTGCTCTGTTTTTTTTAAACACCGAACTTCAAACTAATTTATGCCACATTGTTCATTCTTGAAGCAAACGTATGTCCGTTTGGTGATTAAATAAACAGTTTTAGACCGCTGCTGGAATTGAAAGTGACGCGTCTGGTGGTTACTTCTCCGAGGAAGGCATGCCGGGGCTTTCAGTGCGACCATTTCAGTTGCATTTGCGACTGAAAACTACTGCGTGCGACTATGAAAACATATTTAGGAGCACCAGTGCGACTGACCAGATCATCATCATACTTGTGATTGTGATCGCTACTCATTAAGTGATTTACCGTCACTTACTGGTAGTTTAGTTGAGAAGTATGTTGGAAAGTATGCATTTTGCCCTCAACATTTCTTATTTGTATGCATTTACAAATGCATTTTAAATGCATTTAAAACATTAATCTCATAACATTATTTATTGCTGTTGTAATTATTGTTATTTGCAGTGTAAATTATTTAATCTGACTGGTAGCAGCCCTATAGTGTATATTGAATTTATTGATAAATTGTAATAATTTGACATGTAAGATGATGCATACATCTAAAAAGGTTAAAAATAGGCCTTTGTAAAGGTAAATATGCAGATTTAAGTATGTAAAAGCTGATAGAACACTGATGAAAATATTGCTTCAGAATAAATTGTTTACTCCACCAAAAATCTCAGTGATGCAGTTATTTTGCGAAGATATTTTGTATGGAATATTGTCTGCTGACATTAAAAGTTCACTGTATATCGTAGTTATAAATACCATTTATTACAGCAATTATATTTTGTTTTCTTTTTAATTTATACACATTAAATATTACATATATGTATGTAATAAAATTTGTATTTCCATTACAGGTTTAAGTCTTAAATTTCATATAAGGTGGTATTAAAAAGGTCTTAAAAAGTCTTAAATTTAACTTGTTCATGTCTGCAGAAACCCTGGGAGGGGGCTTTGTTGAAAACGACGTGTTTGAGAGCGGCGGGGCATAGAGGACCTACAATAATGTACAGTATTTGAAAAAGAATGTGTTTTTTGAACATTAAAGCATGTCAACATGTTCTGTTACACCAAATACACAAAATAATGATCTTTAAAATAGCATCATATGACCCCTTTAAAGAACACATTTTAAATAAGTAACTGTTTTAAAAAGTAGTCTGTTTATATAATAAAAAAATAAATTTTGCACAAATTAAATTTGATATAAAATTTATATGAAAATTTAGCCATGTGCAGTAATATTGAGAACTAAGAATGTGACGCATCGTGATATTGAGTTGATAATCATAATTGAATTGAATCGTGAAACCAGTGAAGATTCACACCCCTGGCTATTTTTAAGATGGCAGTTCTGACATACAGAGATTCCAACTATAAACAAAAAATCATAGAAACGGCAATTTTGGTTAAAATGTAAAGTTGTAAAGATGTATTTGCACAGCAGAAGAATAACAAATAACAAATAAAATTAATATGGTATGTGCAGGATAGAGCAATGTCTATGGTAACATATTAAACTGATAACATGATTAACATTTCAGATACAGGTTTTTACAAAAAGTCTTATAAAATGTTAAACATCACATTTCCACCTTTAAACCATTTTTAAAAAGGGATGAGTCAAATGTATGAATTATTAATTTAAAACAAATATATCTTACTTTATGAATTGTTTATAATTTTAGAAGACACATTAGCTTCTTGCCGATCCACGTGTTCACATTTACAGCTCTATGTGTTTTCTGCATACCCAGCTAACAAACGTTCTGGGAGCGTTAGTTTTTGGTTCCCAGAACGTTTCCTGTTGGCTAGCCAGGAAAGTTTTCTTAACGTAAATAGAATGTTCCCAGAACGTTCTCCTAACCTCTTTACTCCGATATAATTTACTCTGCTGTACGTCAGTAATCATCCAACACTCCTGCGTCCCATAGAGTAAGCGGCATGGAAGACGGGTGGATGGACATCAATAATCAGTACTTCCAAAGACTATAGAATTACCAAGACGTGTCACTCGTATAGTTTTGAATGGGGAATGGCGATTTGACTGCTTTATTGTCTACACTTTATTAAAAGCTTATTTCAGAAATTAAATTCTGCAAAATATAGTCTGTTTATGAAAAAAAAATACAAATTTCAGCATTAGAATAATCTCTCTGTTGGGCATCATTCAGAAACTTCTGCAACGTTTTAATTAGTTTACATGGTTATGAAAATACAATTAAAAATAACCTGCAGGGAACGTTCTGGGAAGGTTCCCTGTAGGTAATAAAAATAAAACCTAAAAATAACCTGCAGGGAACGTTCTGGGAATGCTCCTTTTAAGTTATAAAAATAAAGCTGTGCACACACAGAAACTTGTTGTCAACGCTGCCCCGCGACTTTTGTTAATAAAATAGCTTTGATACTGAATTTCTACATTATATTTCACAGCAACGAGGAGGTAAATTAGCTGTTTTTGAAGTAACTAAACTCGGCTTCATTGTTTAATAGTAAATTAATGAAACCAAAGATTGCCCATTACATTTACCCAAATCGAATTATATCTCATGTTTAACCACTATAGAGACATCAGAGTCAGCTGCAAATTCCAGAAGGTCTGGCCGAGGTAAGGCTGCTCTCGGCTGGTTCATGAGCACTAAATGGCCACTCACACACTGGAGCTCACATCTCCGAAAACGTCAAAGCATAGGTGTTATCTTTAATAACAGATCGCATATTTGAAGTCTAAACAATTACATTCTTGCCTAAAAAACTCTTAAAACTACATTCGGAGGTAAATTAGCTGTTTTTGAAGTAACTAAACTCGGCTTCATTGTTTAATAGTAAATTAATGAAACCAAAGATTGCCCATTACATTTACCCAAATCGAATTATATCTCATGTTTAACCACTATAGAGACATCAGAGTCAGCTGCAAATTCCAGAAGGTCTGGCCGAGGTAAGGCTGCTCTCGGCTGGTTCATGAGCACTAAATGGCCACTCACACACTGGAGCTCACATCTCCGAAAACGTCAAAGCATAGGTGTTATCTTTAATAACAGATCGCATATTTGAAGTCTAAACAATTACATTCTTGCCTAAAAAACTCTTAAAACTACATTCTGTGACACAAAAACAGTATTATTTATTAAATTATAGTGGATTTGGTCGTCAGCCATAGCACTCACTGTGAGAAATGCTGCAAGTGGAGTGATACAAATGGTGAAACTGTTCCTGTGGCAATACTGGGTGAATATTTCATGGGTAGAAAGACCTCTCAGCCAATCAGATTCGAGGACCAGAAAGAACTTTTGTATAATTACTGTTGTAATTGTTATTTTATTTAGATATTATATTTTTTCCATTTGAGCCCCTGTCCCTGAGAAAATCCCTGCACATTGGATTGATTTTTATAACTTTATGTACTTGAAGTATGCACAAAGCACTAAGAACATACAGTATTGGATCGGGACTCTGTATCAGCAGATACTCAATATTAAATGATTTTGATCAGACGGGGGGCCCAGAAAACCTGATTGGGACATCTGTAAACTAAAGTCTTTGAAATGTTACTACATGAACTTATAGCTACACCATCAGCAAACTAAGAGTGAAGCCTAATTTCATTATGTATCTCATTCTGTCCTCAGTTCTGTACTCCAGTCCATTGAACATTCCCTCCATTCCTGGGATGGGAATGAATTCAAGTCAACAGAGCTCATCCAACTAGGGGATTCTGCTCACATGTTCATGGCCAAACAAGAAGGTACTTATTACCATATCATAATTATGGCATTACAGTAACTGAGTTTTCATTTATTACACATTATACTTGATGTCACCTTGTTTTTCCTTCAGTGGAATACATTATACAAATTACAATATAGGGCAGGACTCTTACCGTGCGTTCACACCGCCGCCGTCGAGAGCGTCAAAGTGGCCGGAAGTCATTAATTTTCAATGTGAGCTGGCGTCGAGCAGCGGTGCGACTTGGACCTTGAGGGCGTCGAGGAGAGTTGAAATCAGGTCATATTTATGGTAATGAGCTATGACGCGGTTCGGCGGCATCTGGCGGCAACCAATTGGAACGTAGAAGTCCACCGCTTGAGAGGATTCCAGAGCATGGACGTTAACGTCTCACGGGACGAGTAGTTGATAAAGTGTAAACTATATGTTATAGGAATAATAATCTAATGATATAATAAATAATAGTATAATAGTCCCAGTTCACTTTTAAACCTTTAAATCAATTTTCCTGATTATACTTACATTAAGTAATGTTTATACCTGATTATACTGTAACATTTTCAATGCAGGACTTACTTGTATACTTGTACTTGAGTATTACTTGTATCAGAGTATTTTTACAGTGTAGTATTAGTGCTTTATACATTATGAGGTAAAGGATCTTAATGCTTCGTCCACAACAATATTTAATGAGGTTAACTTATAACGTTACCAGGGCCGGAGTGGGACTCATTTCATGCCCACTTTTTTCTTTTTTTTTTTAAAAATCTATTATTCGCTCGCATATCTCCTACAACTGAGGTTTTTTTTTTTTTTTTTAGCAAGGTGCCACTGTCAGGGGAGTCAAAAGATAATTACATCAATTAAGGTTGCCAATTAACTTTTTGTACTATACAATAATGTAGGCCTATATCTGCCTGCAGTTAAAAGTTCTCAGAAATAATCACATTTGTTTTGCTTAACCCATTTATGTACGATTATTCTAAAAAAAATTTTTTATGTCATACAAAAAAGGCCATTGGCCTGAGTAAATTTTACAATTATAGAATTGTGACTTTACAAGGGTAGTAATTTAGGAGGTGAAAATACTGTGAAATTACAAATGGCATGGAATTTGAAAGCACAACAACTGAAGGTCTATGAAACGTCAGTTAATAAAGCATTTTTTTAAACAATGGCACAATAGCCTACACTAGTTTTTTTCTCTCTCTCTATTTAACAGCATTAACTTACAATGAAATACATCTTCGTTCAGGTAGACTGAATGTTTTCCTGCCTTGCTAAATGTTGGGCTCATGATAAGTAAGTTGCATTCGCCCAAACTGATTTTGTAAAATCAAGACGCGGACAGTGAACCTGGGTGCAGTAAGCGCGAGTCGCGCTCGCTGTGAAGCGGGAGCAGCCGGCAGAGGATTCCGCTTGGTCTTAAAGCCTTCATCAAATGTCTACGTTCACAAATAACAATGATTTTCGCAAAGAGAATGATTAATTATCAATTGAGAATGTTATTATTATGGTCTGGTGAAAATAATAATATGGGCTGCGAGAAAATAATAAATAAAAAGAGTAGGGCTGCTGTGAGTGCAACTTTTAAACCTTTAAATCAATTTTCCTGATTATACTTACATTAAGTAATGTTTATACCTGATTATACTTACTTAAGTAACATTTTCAATGCAGGACTTTTACTTGTATCGGAGTATTTTTACAGTGTGGTATTAGTGCTTTATACATTATGAGGTAAAGGATCTTAATACTTTGTCCACAACAATATTTAATGAGGTTAACTTATAACGTTACCCTCCTTGTGGTCAGTCTGCACAAGATCAACAAGCTTGTTTGCTTTGCATCCCCTTTAAATACAAGATAAGCATTCGATCGACGGATCTATGTCAGAGCGTCCACGAATCTTTCTACAGCGTTGTTGGCAGGGCGGCCAGAGCGATTTTTGACGCTCTCGACGGCGGCGGTGTGAACGCACAGTTAGAGTTTAACTCTAAGCCTAATACACTCAAACAAGCTATTCAAGGTTAGGGCTCAACAATAAAAACTGCCCGATGGCCCGGGGTCAGCATGAAAGACACTTGGGTTGACAGAATTGTCACTGGCCCAAAAATAATAATAACCAGTTTCTGGCACTGTTGAATAATTTTATTTATTTATATTTTTTTTACTTTTCTTTAAGTGACAGCGTGACGTGTCCTCTGAATTGAACCCATCCAAGTGGGCATACACACACCCGGTGCAGTGGGAAGCCATTACTCGGAATCAAACTCGGTTACAAGAATCGGGAATCGAACCTGCGACATTCGTGTTACAAGTCTGACTCTCCCACCCCCATTTTGTCGTGAATGACTGTACAGAGTAGGGCATCAAGCTGACTGCTGATTACAGCAGCCAGATCAGAACAGCGTTATCAGAACAAACTGCAGGTGGTTGATGCAGACCGGAAGCTGAGGCATAACCTAAGGAAGAAGAACGTTGCACACAAGAGAGCTTGATACATGTACACTAGGACACATGGCAGTTGTGGCCTAATAGTTAGAGCGTTGGACTTCTCGGGTACCGGCAGGAAATGTAGGTCTTTTTCCTTAGGTTATGCCTCAGTTTCCAGTCCGCATCAACCACCTGCAGAGTGTTCTGATAATGCTGTTCTGATCTGGCTGCATCAAGATAATCGGCCCTTAGCTTGACACCACTCTCTGCACAGTCATTCATGACAAAATGGCATTGGACAGTTGTGGCTTAATGGTTGGAGAGTTAGACTTGTAACCCGAAGGCTGCAGTATCGATTCCCAGTATCGGACACCCAGTAGGTGTGTGGAGTGAATGAACGGCAACTCAGTATCCACACTTAGCTTGATGGCGCACTCTGCACAGTCATTCAAGACAAAATGGCGGTGACCGTGGGTAAATAAGTAAAGAAATTAAACAAAAAATGAGCAAGGCACCGAACCCCCAATTGCTCCATGGCACCGCAGCAAAAATGGCTGCCCACTTCTCTGGGTGTGTGTCCACAGTGTGTGTGTTCACTACTCACTGCTGTGTGTGCACTTGGATAGATTAAATGCAGAGCACAAATTCAGAGTATGGGTTACTACCGAGTATGGTGACTTTCACTGTTGCACAGTATGAAATTACAATGATTTTTGCCTATTTTTGATGTTTTACTCTCAAAGAATGTAATAAGTCATATACTACTAGCTGTATTATATGTTTGCTACAGCACAATAATGCTAAAAGTTTTTTTATTTTTTTATTTATTGAATTGCAAATGCTAAGCTGCATAATATTATGTAATTTTCATTTCTCGGGTGTGGATGACCTGACAAATATACAATTTAAAATATGAAATTTGGCCACAATATATATTAGTTGATATGGCATGCATTAGATATATGGCTAAATGTTGGTCTTTTGATGCACCCTAGCTCACATCTAAAGTGCACACATATAAAGCCTCCTTTCAGACAAAAACAGATATAGGGATGTTGAGCTAACACTATGCAACTTTTCCTAATGTGTTGGCTGCTGTCCTTCCTCAAGTGGGAACCGTTGAAAACACAGTGAGCACTCGGACCACCCTCCTGAAAGAACCTCTCTGGCCTGCCATTCCTCTCCAGCCTCCCTACCAGACCACCACCCAGAGATCCCCTCCCTCTACTGACACAGCCCCATTTTCTGAAGACCAGACCATACAGAAACCAGAAAACTTATGTCGCGAGGTAAAACTCTTAATTCAACACTAGATTTCATGCACAACTACTGTGCTACATTTTTAGCAGTACATACAGATTCTCTGCTATCCAGGTCGTCATAGAAATGTATTCAGTATCGTCATAATGTATTTGTCTCAGTAAATGATAGTCATGAGTAAAAGCTAAATGATTGATAATTGTTGATTGTCCACTTAAAAACTGAGGAATTTCTGTGGGTGTCTTGGCAATTGTTTGTATTAAGTGAATCATTAAGTATGTTCACATGCACACTGATATGCTGATAGCTCCCAAAAATGAGCTTATTGAATTAACCTGTTGTCCCAGTGTAAACACAAACCAGTAACCCAGCAACACAAGTAAAGAGTGTTTACAAAAAATCTGGTTGTTCCCTGGTAGTGATGTCAAAATGTAATCAGTTGTGTATATGAATCCTAGTGCTCCAATTATTATGAGTTACTCTAAAATGTCAATGGGAAAGTTGCATGCTGTTGAACATCTGTTAATTTCTTACACTAATAGGTTGTTTGCACATGACGTCACTGATGACGCACGAAATCTGATTATAAAGGAATATCGTGAGATTGTGATCAGTTGAAGTGAGTGACAGCTTTTTAGTGATTATATGGAAGCGCTATTTGCTCGCTTTCTAGGCAGGCTATAATCAATTCAGAATTTGAATAGTTTTGTTTTACGTGCTGCTAACAGGACCAACAGCCACATACCCTGTACATGCAGCAAAGTTTCAGGAGTGACTGAAAAAGAACGGATGAGATACAGTAAAGTCTGTAATGTAGGCTACTGTTTTAGGCATGATGCATATATTTATTTATATATATATAGCGCTTTCATTGAATTGCTGCACACCCAACCCGCCTTACAATCGTATGAGGGGATCTCTCTTCATTCACCACGCTATTACAAGAGAAAGGTATTGATAATCACAACATGTTGGACGTGATCCTTATGTTATAAAGAGGAGCGATTTTTAAACTAAATTGAAATACTTGCCTGCCATTGAGGCGATGGATATAGGCTAAGCAACTAACCCTGATTGTAAACAAGCTATTTCGAAAGTGAATCCCGTATTTATATGAGGGATGCGGGATATATGTCACTCCTGAAACTTTGCTGAATGTACAGGGTATGTGGCTGTTGGTCCTGTTAGCAGCACGTAAAACAACTTTTATTTAAATTCTGAATCGATTATAGCCTGCCTAGAAAGCGAGCAAATAGCGCTTTCATCTAACGTTAATCACTAAAAAGCTCACTCGCTTCAATTTATCGCAATCTCACGATTCCGTGAACTGCAAACAATATCTTATTTACATCGTGTCTATGTGTGGCGTTTAGCATTCAGTGAATTCTGACTGTGTCACCCTGTATCTATTTATATATTTCTTTATTAATATCTTAATATATTATTATATCTTATATTAACCATTTGCATACACGAGCATTATCCGGCTCCGCTCCTCCCGACCGCAGACGCAGGTTTACAAGCCACTTTTTCCAGCGTTTTTCAGTCAAATTCTTGAATTTTCCCCCCTTATGAGCAACACATTTTTGTACACGATAAAAGCTCCTTGTGGTTTCTCGGTTTGTCCGATTTGAGCATCCATAAACAACGCAAAACACTGGCATTTGGAGTTTCTGCTAGTGATTTCTATGGAGAAAAATCACTTCCTGTCCTCCAACTGCATTTCGCACGTCATCAGAATCACGTGATTGCAAACAACCTATTAGCAGTATACTTAATAGGGATGTTATATCAATTAAATGAAATCAGTATCAACAAAATCCATTTTACAATATATCAAAATCCATATACATTGCAGTTACAATAGCATAAAATAGAGCTGCAATCAGCGATGACGCTAGAACTTCTTAGACGCTAGAGCTCTAGAGCTTCAAGAGTGTGAAACAGACCCACACATAGAAAGGGAAGGTTATATAAAACTTTTAATGATCTATAAGCATTAGATAATAAGCAAATGCTATAAGCATTTGTGAAATAATTGTAAAAAATTACACAGTACAGTACATATCAACTGATTCTATGCATTTATTTGTCATACTAACTCGGGGGTTTTCAAAGTATGGGGCATGCCAGGGAGGCACGAAGAGTGCTAAAAATTAATTAATCCGTGGTTAATAATTTCAATCAATACATTATAACTGAACAAATACTTTAAAAAGCAAAAAGAAGCAGGTTTTTAGAAAAGAGACGTTGTTGTTTCCGCTCTAGGATCAGATCATTTTAAACCTTAAACTCTGTCCAATTACATCAGAGATGAGGGGGCGAGAATATTGACTCATGTCCAGATTTCAGTAAGTTATTTATTTTAACATGTATTTGGCTACAAAGCATGACCTCTGCGTATTCTGTTTCTCATCACGCTGCGTGAAATAGACTTAAAACACCCAACCGCTGCATGAGCATATGATACATAAACTATGATGGTTGGATAAAGCAAACCAGTGGCACGCTAGAAAATTTTTGAAGGATGTCAATTGTAGCCAAGGTAAAGACGATTGCAGTTACATACAGGAGTCATACATTAGGCAAGCGTGAGTCTGTTATTATTGATGCGCAAAGAAACTATGTGTTCTTGGCACACTGATCACTATTGCACCAATGATTTGCATGAGCACATTTCAATATATTTGTGTGGTCATCAAAATTAATGTGCCACATTTTATAATTTGATACTAGCCGAAGAAGTGTGTTTTAGAGTATGCGCGGGTCAGTGGTTTAGTAATTCTGAATGGATCTGTATAGTCAAGGCAAGGCAGCTGGTTTTGTCTGTTGCCTATCTCCCTCACGTCCTGTTTGGTATGGCAGCTTGAATTGTGATTATTTGTATAAAAATCATATAAACAAATGTGTTTTTTCTTTTTATAGTTTTTGTTGTTGCACTATATACATGCATTGTGAATTATGAAAATTAAAAAAGTACAATTTTACTATTTAAAATTAGTAAAAGGTTAGGGGGTTAGAGGGGTGGGGAGGCACCATTGTGTACGTTGTGTCAGAAAGGAGGCCCACTGTCTTTGACTTTGAAAACCAACTTATGGAATGTTCTAACTTATGGAAACTGAGAGAAAACATAAGGCAAATGTACTTAGAAAACATAAGACAATTCCTGTTTCTATTTTATGCCATTAATTTAATCCTTCGCCATGGCAACACCGTTCAAGATATCCAAAAATTTAGGATCTTCAAGTGTCTTCATGCATTTTTCTCAAAACCCAGAATAGTTGACTTCCTGTTCGGCTGAGCATATGAGTTGCAGGGTGAAACTTGTTCGGCTTGATGAGATCTTTATTTTGTACAGAGTTTTGTACATATACATGCAAGTATGCATAATATATGCACAAAATATTTTGACTGCATTCCAGGGGGCGTTAATGAGCCCCCTACCATGCCCGGGTCCCAGCTTTTGACCGGCCCTAATGGGCATGGTAAGGGCTTCAAAAGGCCCATAAACCTTGAAAAAATAAAAATAGAAATTGGCACAGGGGGACAAAGGGTCTTCAGTGTTTTGGCATGATTTTCCTTATGTTTGATGGCAGTCACAAGAGTCCCCTAGGAGGAGTACTTCACATTCCACAGCATGCCGTTTTTAAAAAATACGAAATGGTCGACTTCCTGTTGGGTGGAGCTAATGTCTATGGTCTGAAAGTTGTCAGCTTGATGAAATCTATATACAGTGGGGGAAATATTTATTTGATCCCCTGCTGATTTTGTAAGTTTGCCCACTTACAAAGAAATGAATGGTCTGTAATTTTTATGGTAGGTTTATTTTAACAGATAGAGACAGAATATCAACCAAAAAATCCAGAAAAAACACATTATATAAAGGTTAGAAATTTATTTGCATTTCAGTGAGTGAAATAAGTATTTGATCCCCTACCAACCAGCAAGAATTCTGGCTCCCACAGACTGGTTATGTGCCCATGTGGAACACAGATTAGTCCTGCCACTTTAAGAAGTTACTCCTAATGTCAGCTCATTAGGTGTATAAGACATCTGTCCACACAATCTGTATCTTCCATTCCAACCTCTCCCACCACCATTGGCAAGACCAAAAAGCTGTCAAAGATTGTAGATCTGCACAAGGCTTGAATGGGCTACAAGACCATCAGCAAAGAAGGTTGGTGAGAAGGAGACAGCTGTTGGTGTGATTATTCGAAAATGGAAGAAATGCAAAACAACCATCAATCGGCCTCGGTCTGGAGCTCCGCGCAAGATCTCGCCTCATGGGGTAAGGATGATCATGAGAAAGGTGAGGGATCAGCCCCGAACTACACGGGAGGAGCTTGTTAATGATCTTAAGGCAGTTGGGACCACAGTCACCAAGCAAAACATTGGTAACACATTAGGGCTGAGCAATATGACAATATTATCGTATATCGACGATGTCTTGTAAGTATCGCAATGTCGATGTCAACAGTCAGGTAACAGACTATTATCGGCATTATCGGGGAAAAAAATGACAAATGATTAACCTAGTAAGTTGCAAAAAATATTTTACATAGCCCCATAGTCACCATACAGGTCTTTTTGCATGCAAGAATGAAATAATTTAGTAGGAGGGTTGGGAATCGAAAAGCTATTCCAATTTCGGAAATCAGATCAAATGCGTAAGGTCAGGAATCAAATTACTTGTTATAAAATTACATTTCGATTCTGCTTCTCAATTTCTGTATGCGCGTTTATTGTGATTTCAAAAGATTCACTGCAAGAAGACGAAATAGAACTCACTTCTGCACTCGCACGCTGTTTTCTGTGCTGCGCACACACACACAAAGCACACGCACAAAAGCCGCCTCTCATATACACGAACACTGGTCTGAGCTCTCTTTCTCGCATTCTTACACATTCGAATGGACAAATACACACAGAATTATATCAAAATATCCCATAAATAACTTTTGTAACCTCAGTTTATATTTTATTTGCCTGTTGTTCGGCGCTGACTACTGTAATGGCAACGTGCATCTGT